ACGAAAATGTGGATCATGGGGGGGGTGAGCATATATATATATATGAAACTCTATAACATTTTTTGTGTGTGGGTTTCGAACATTGGGGTAAGTCTGATACAGTCCCAAACAATACATCCCTCACCATTTCACGGCCCCCCAGGCCCCCAGGCACCCGTAGGATTCGGACAACACCATTCCTTCATTCCCACTGATGAAGAGAAAGAAACAAGCCCTAAACGGCCTGTGTTGGCCTTGGATTCTCTGCCTCGTCAATGTTGTTGAGGTCCGTCAGCGGGATGGTCTGCGCGCATTGGTTTAAGATCTAAGTTTTGGGTTTAAGGCCCACTTTAGGGCTCCAAATTGCCCACTGTATGCAATATCTATATATAGGCTCAAGGGCACACTCTAGGTATGGTCTATGGACTTAGAGCCCCAGGGTGAGGGTTTGTATAGTATCTAGGGCTTAGGGCTTAGGATTTACAGGTCCGTTGCAAGACAGAGGGATGCGAAACATAGAACCCGCTCCTGCAGCCGAACTTTAGGATTTAGGGTTCAGGGTTTAGGGTTTAGGCTTTTTTTTAATGGGGCCCTTTTCCTCCTGCTTACAGTTAGGCTTTAGGATTTAGGGTTTAGGGATGTAGGGTTCAGGGTTTGGGACTTAGGGTTCAGGGTTTGAAATTCAAGGTTTCAGGGGATCCTTGGAGGGAGGCCTGGGCCTTGCGGTCCTTGCCAGAAGGAGTTATATGGGTGGTTGTCAAAATTATGGTCCCTTTTTGGGTACCCTAAATAATAGGTGCCGTATTATAATAGGGATCCACCAAGGGACCATAATTTTGACAACCACCCATATGGGAAGTTGTCGAACATTTTGCAGACTCAAAATATTCGGCGCCGTACTCTTACTCTTGGGGCCCAAACCGGACCATAGTTTTCACAACATACCATACTGTTTGACCAAATGATACTACTTCTCGCGTATACGACGCAGGTCCCTGATGTATGGTCTCCCACATAAACAGCTACCAATATTCATAAGCAACTTTGTATCTGCCCACATCAGCGAGATAAGCATACCTCTGTCGTATAGGGCCCTAGTTGGCAGAACCAGCTGGGATTTTTTTGATTATGACGCGGCAAGGTCCCGGAAAATCCAGAGTGCATCCAACTTCAAAGCAGAGTAACCGGACAAAAAGATATGGGATGCCAACGTTTATACTTCCTGGTTCTTGGTAGAGAATAAGGGAATATAATGCCGACATAATCCCTGTATGCTGTATGTTGTGCTCACTCTCAGTAAATCATAGGGATTGAGGTGTAGGGGCTTGGGGTGTTGGCTGTGGGGAAGATCTTCCTTCCCCCTACTAGCAATGCGAGCCCCCCTCCCCACAATGATGATTCCATAATGTCACCCTCAACCCTGACCGCCCCCCGCCTCCCCACCAGTATAGGCTTTAATAAGGTTGATGGACAAAAGCCTGCACTGACCATATATACAAAAGGCCGAGGCATCATGATTACAGTAGACGGCATGCAGGATTTTGTCCATAACCTGAATACCTACCATACCCCGTAACAGAGCCCAAATAGCGCCAAACAAGGGCGGATCATGCGGCATGATTGGGGAAGGGTATAGCAAGGAAAAGGCGGCTCCGGGACAAAACTGAGGCAGGATGCGTGCGCTTCCTGCACGGGATATCGTGAAGGGATGACAGGGTATTTGGCCCAGGCTAGAGAGAAGAGGATTGTAAAAAAAGGTCTGGAGGAAGGATTCTTGCATGCGGGTTCTGACTCTGCACAACCTCTATCGGGATTAGGCCGACGAAAATTCAGGTGAGCGGTCGTGCAGTCGCTTGACATTGGGTTTCTCTAGGGTTGAGGGTGCATGTACCAAACTCACAGACTCAAAGCCAAACAAGCAAGATAACGAAGCTTCCCCTGATTTCCCTTTCACAACTCCTCCGAAGACCACATAGTCGGGCTGTCGCTTGTGATGTCGAACTGGCAAATGCTTGAATCGGGGAGGAGAAGACCAGAAGCTTTATGGCGGGTTGACATCCTTTTGCACTTAAAGCTCTGAGCTCCAGTTTGAGGCCATTCACATTTTGGCTGCGAATGAGAACGCTTCAATGCAAAGGAAAGTTATGGCGGAAAGCCTGGTTTGCACATGAGGAACTGGCCGCTTGCAGCAACTAGACTAACTAGAAATGCATAGCCTCTTCTTGCGGGGAATGAAGGAAAGAATCCCTCTTCTGCCTCAAACAAAGTACTGATGACTATACGATTGAGGGTTTATCAGGGATTCAGGGTTTAGCGTACTACTGTAGCTGAATTCCATCACTTTCAACCTAAAGAGAGGCAAGATTCAGGCACCAGCAAGAATATCTGGTCCTGCCATGAATCTGGAATCAAACAACTTAGTTTGCAGGACAACCTGACGATCCAAACAGTGTCGGAACTCTTTCTGCTTTAGCTGGGGTAGTAGAAGGACCCCCAAAACCTTCCGTGGCTCAGCAGTATGGCTTGACTCGCACAAGAAGCGGCCCTGAATGTGGCTGCAGAACTCCAGGTAAGCAATACAGCTTCAAATCCAGAATCTAGCTTGTCCATCGGCTTCTTGATGACGGTAGACTGTTGGTCCCAACAAAAGCCAACATTTTGAGCAAGATTTGCCCACCGCAATCTACTCTGAAGCATTAGCTTTTGAGGCCGATGATTGGTGCCTCATGCATCCCTCAACATTCTTCAGGCCCCTCCTTCTAAACGGTTCTTGCGCTGTCACTCACCAAATTGCATCTCAAGCCCGATCACAAAACTCCACGAAGAGGGGCCGGCTCACGAATGAACATGTATCACTATGCAGCTTGAAAGCTCTGAGTGGAGCTTATACGAACCCTAAATCCTAAACGCTATCAGCCCTAGACCCTAAACCCTATAAACCTTTGATACCCTAAGCTTCTGACCCTAAACCCTGCATCCTAAATAGTAGTTTCCATCTTAGTTTCCACCATCCCCAATACAACCCTAATATATACCCTATATAACACATTATAGTACAGTAGCTTCCATTTCAGCTTCTATTATCCCACTAAAGCCCCAATGTAACTTGGCCCTTGACCAGCGCCAGGCCTGGAGCAGAAAGCCCGGGTCACCGTTAGTAGCGGTAACGATGGTGACGAGTGCAAACTTGCCGTCGGGGCTAACGGCAATGCTGTCCTGAATTTTGACCAAGCGTGGGGTTTAGGATTAAAGGGTATATAGGGTTCACAGTTTGGGGTTTTAAGGCCCTATTCAAGTCCGTTCAAAACCATTTTGGATCGTGGGGCCCCATGGCAGCGCGTGTGCGCATTTGCAAGACAGAAAGAAAGACATTTTGTTTGAACGTGCTTGGGCTTTTGCCGAACCTGTGATTTGGAAAGCGCAAGCAGGTAGAACCCCCCATCCTGATGATGAAGACTGAAACGACTTTTTGTCCTAGCATCTGGCTCACCACCCAGAAGTTCAGTGCTCTCCAAAGATGGAGAGGATGGGTCAGATGCGTGGTAGACAAGGAGATAGCCATCCTGGCCGCCGTCTTGTTTTGCCTTGGCTGCATGGTGTTTGCTGATGCCCAAAAAGCGGTTTCATGCTATTCTGGCGTCTAAGTCGCCCCTTTCACGTACCCAGCAAGTGAAAACTACAATAAGCTCAGCCGGGAACCACCACCAGCGCGCGTGAGCCCTTCGTTGCGACGTCCAACGGTATAGTCTGAGTAATCGGGTCCGGGGCTGTCCCCTCTGCCGGAGCCGTGACTACGGAAAGTGCCACTGGATTATACGCATCCGTGATGTCCACGAAGCCAACCTTTCAGGTCTGCGGAATGCTCTCTGACAAGAAAGTCCGATTCTGAGGCATCCACTTCATCTTGTGAGGGGGGAGGCTTCTGGATTGAAAGACTTGAGGTTTAAGGTTCAGGTGCTGCTAGGGCCCATGGGATGAGCGCTTGGGGTTCAGGCGAGATGGTGGGCGGAGGGTCTCTCTTCCGTTTCGGATCCCCGACCAACCACTAGGGGTTTAGGGCTTGGGGCCCCTTTAAAGGGGACACAAGGGTTATATAGGGTTATGTAGGTTTTATAGGGTTATATATTGCCCAGCCCTCGGAACTCT